TATGTCAGTTCCAGCATTATGTAGGAGGTAGTAGGTTAATTCTAACATACATGATATGGTTAGTCTTTGTGTCCCCACACAAATCTCATCTTGAATTGTAATCCTCATAATCCCCATGTGTCGAGAGAGGAATCAGGCGGGAGGTGATTGGATCATGGGACAGTTTCCTCCATGCTGTTCTTGTGATAGTGAGTGAGTTCTTATGAGATCTTATGGTTTTATAAAGCAGTTTTCCCTGCTGTTGCTGGCTCTCTCTTTCTTGCCACCACATGAAGTCTTTGCTTCCCCTTCACTTCAACCATGATTGTAAGTTTCCTGAGGCCTCACCAGCCATGCAGAACTGTGAGTCAATTAAACCTCTTTTCTTTATAAATTACCCAGTCTTGGGTAGTACCTTTATAGCAGTGTGAAAATGAACTAATACAATGCCTAAGCAAAGCATGCAAATGAAGAGTTCAACTAAACTTGGCAAGTCTCCTGAGAGTGCATGGTGCAAGAATAACACAAATAAATACAATATCTGAGATTGGCACTGGAATAAGTTTATGGAGAAAACTTGAAAGAATATAATTGTCAGGAAAAATAGAAACTCAGAAGTGTTTTGTGTTGATAGACAACTAAAGATCAGATGAGACAAAAGCTGTCTCTGAAGATGCCAGGGCTGACACATGACAACCTATGCCAAATTCTTCCTCCATCCCTATTCCCCATTCCTTGGCATTTTACAAGTCTCACGGTCACTGAATCTGCACTGGGAAAACACAGCTGTAACTCCAAAATGATTGAGTTTCCAACACTCAGCAGAATGGTGTCTCATAATCAAAATTAAGTTCAGTTGAGAAACATGATAATAGTTATATTTCTTGCAAGCTGCCTGTGTTGACTGACACTCAAGCCCAAATTCCCATAACTTTCTGATACCCCACTATTAGGTATGACACCAATCACTACAACCTCCAGCCCCCATGAAAAATATATTCAGAATTGATGGGAAAATTTGAGGTTAAAAACATGTCTACACAGTATTAATGTTTCCAAATAGTTGTTCTATTGATGGAAATAATTTTGCATCATGTGTTTTAGTTGGTAGTAAAAGGAAGCCCAAATAGTTGATCCATAAGCTCTCTATGGTCACATCCTCATCAGATTGACCAAATTTATAGGCAGAATAGCAGCAGACCCAAGTTTCTGTATTTATATTTCTTACTTGAACTTCATGATGAAAAACATAAAACTGTTCTGAGTTATTTTAACATTAAACACATTCATCCTTGGAATTGGAAAATGCTAATGCTTTCCTACGCCCATATGCTGAATAAAATTGAAAGTAAACAGAGCTAGCATATTTTGGGAATTGCTACTATAGTCATCAAAGCAATTAAAAACTCATTTCAAGGTGGTTATTATAGTAGTATTTGTTGTTATTTATATGTCTCAAGTGGGGTACTTCTGTAGTAGTATATTATACCACATATATTACTAGCATAAAAACCAAGAAAACTTATCTATTTCATAAATATCAGGATTAGTCCTTAAGGCCTAAAATTTTCAGCTCCAACATCTTAAGGATGAAGTCTTTCCTGTACTATCACGAGTTTAATATTTTGAAATAAAATTGCATTTATGGTCATAAAAGTATAATAGATTAAGAATAATAATGTTTGATTATTTGACTCATACCTACATGAATTTCCATTTATTTGATTAGATTGCCATAACCTTCTCATAAATTAAAAGTCTTTGAAAGAATTAATAGTACAATTTGTCTCAGACTATAACATTGCTTACTCTGTCTGATATATTTGTTTACCAAGGTAGAAAGAGGAAAAAATAAGCTCTGTTGTAAGAATCTTATTTCCGTTATGCTAAATATTATCTTAAAATTCTTAATAGAATAAGACTTTGCTATAAAGTTTCTCAGTAGGTTAATGTTTTCCCATACTTACATAACTGTTTTTATATGAGAATTTGTCTCTTCAACCACGGGGTAAACACATGAAGGACAGAGAAAAAATGTTGTACATTGTTCTTTACACCTCTAGGTATCATACACTTTTGTAGGTCTGAGCTATACTTTATGCCTGGGAAAATCTTATTCTACATCTCAAGGAGCTTTGTGCGTACTCCTCTCTTTTCCTTGCTAACATGCGATCCATAGAGTGCCAACAGAAAGTGCTATTTACATAAAATTAAGCCAAAATTACTGAGCAGCTTGTGACAGGCAAATCACAAAAGTGGCTGACATCCTTACAAATGCCCTAAGCATCTTCGTGGTGACCATTCATTTCCTGTGAAAGAATGAAAGTCTCTGTATAGTCTAAACCTACTCCAGAAAATGATAACAGCCACACTGACATTTCCAACCAATCTCATAAGGCCAAGATTCTTCCCCAAAAGGAGCCCTGATCTTGGATTCTGGGTTTTGACCTGGGTCACACCTCATACTCTGTGTGTATTTCCTGATTCTGTCAAATAGATATGTAGTCCTACATTTCCCACAGCTTTCCATGAATGCTGCCTGATATTATGGAAACACATTAGAAGGTCTCAGCTACCAATAAATAGACTTGCCCTTCTAATAGATGCCTGGGCTCCTTTCCTTGTGGTTTTAACCCCTGGTTTTCTATTTCATTGGATTTATCAGCTAAACTCAGAGTCTAGAGCAACAGGGATTGAAATTTTTTGTATATGTACTTACATAAAAATATACCATCTCCTTCATCAGAGGTTTTGGTCTGATGAGTCTTGTGGGTTGTTTACAGTCTGTCTTGCGCTTTAAGGGAATCACCTGTTTGCTGGAGTGAAGTCTGTGGCAGCTTGAGGGCTTGTTATGGCCACATCCCCATTCTGGTTAAAGCTAATAAATTTACAGACTCATTTTGAGCAAATCTGCCTATGTCAGTTAACTGTTGCTATGTGACAAAGGACCCCTAAATCTCGGTATTTATTGAGCTCATACATCAGTTGGTTCACTAGAGGTTAGCTGATCTAGAGTGGGCCCATAGGGGTGATCCAGCTGAAACACTTACGTATACCCTACATGTCTCTCACTCTTTTCCTGGCCCAGAAAGCTGGTACAGGCATGTTTTTCCCTTGGCAATGGCAGAAATGCACAAAGATAAGGAGAAACATACAAGTTCTCTTCACTGAGACTCTCTACTGGCATGTTACCACTTCTGTGTACTTCTGTGTCATTCTTTTGGCCAAAATAAGTCACATGACCAAGCACAAAACTTAATCAAATAATGAGAAAATATATTCTGCCTTTCAGCAGGAAGAATGCAAAGTCCCATGGCAAATGGCACAGATACAGAATGACTAAATAACTCCATTAATGCAAATTACCACACTGCCACAGCTTTTCCTTGCTGTGAACCACAGGATTACACTCCTTCATACCACTGACTGAGTCAGGAATCAGTATCTGATCCAAGAGCAACCTTCTACTGTGGCTATCAACTTATGAGGTAGCCCAATACAAGAGTTCTGTCCAATAAGAGAACTTGGTTTCCACCTAGGTGCTTAGAATAACCAAACCATGGAAGTGCAAAGCTGTTGGTGAATATGGCTTCCACCAGCGGACAGAGAAGCAAAGGAAATTAATATGTACCTTTCCTGCAGTGGTAAGAAACTGTACTTCTTAACTCGTCTCTTTGCTAGGGAGCTTCCTGTCTAATTTCTGTGAGGCAGGAAGTGGCCAAAAGTCAGCTTACGTTAATCTCTACCCTGAGACATATCTTTGTGTAAAGACCCACTCAGTGGTGAGAAAAAACTGCTCCTGGCCTCACCTCCAGAACCAGAAAATTAGTTCTACTCAGATTAATTAAATGCTATGAGTGTTTTTGGGCTCCCAATCAAATTTTTTAAAGTTATACTAAAAAATGGGTAAAGATAAGGCCTACTTGTAGTTATTATCCAGGCCAATACTTTTATATTAGATTCTCTCCTCCCTACTCTTTTAAATTAGATTATTGTTGATCATTCAGGACATGGTGCCAATCCCTCCTTGGTGTGAAGTCTCATTAGGTTATCAATTCCATATCAAATACTTTCTTCTTTGATCTCCCAGAGAATTTACTAGCTGTATGCTTACTGAAATTTCTGTGTTGGTTATGGGGCCCCTGCCACACACTAACACACAGCACTGTGGAAGGGGCATCCCAAGGGAGTTGTGTCCTTCATCAGAGATCACACTCCACTATCCCCAACTCTGAGAAACACCCCTGGCCACAGATAAGGAAGTCAGGAACGGTCACCTGACACAACACCAGCTAATCCACCCATTAGGCAATGGCTGGGTGAGAAAGCTCAGCCTAAATGAGATTTGAATAGTTAGCTATGTCAAACAGATTTAGCCTCAGAAATTTGAACTTGAACTCTAGAACAGGAGTGGGGGTAGAAGACAGAGAGAAAAATAACCTCAGAGAGTAGCTGCAGTATGTCAACGGTAGACCACTGGTGCAGGGATCCTTCAAGCTCCCTTGAATCCAGAACAAGTCTCCAGCTCCTATCTTCCTATTCATGTGTGGCATGAACTTTTACCCTGGAGCTCCATGATATCCCATCTCTCTTATCACTAAATGAATTCTAATAAAAAGCCCCAGTAAGTCCATTACTGAAAATTAAAATAACTAACAAAACAACCATTGATTACACGCTCTATTGTATCTTTTGTTGCATGTTGTATGCCTGTCTTCCTATTTAGTGAGACTATTTGCTCCTTAACAGTAGAAATATATATCTTCTCCAGGAAGCTAACACAGACATCTAACGCATTGAGATCCTCAGGAAGAACATAAATTGGATTGACAGCAGTCCCAAAATTCTCTCTAAAATCAGTTTTAAAATTATACCAAAATGTATTTGTTATGTGCTATTTTCAAAAATTACAGTTGAATTTTTTCTTTCAGGTGTGGGATGACCTACATAATGGCTTCCCCGACAGCAGAAAGAACAGAATAATTTAACTAACTTATTATTTTCTCCAGTATTTGACTTACCTCCACTAGAGCAGAGTCTAGGCCAGTAACTTCCTTAGACCAGTTCTATGTCTGCTGGCAAAACTTTTCATCCCTCAGTTCTTTGCACAAATAAAAATCATACCTGGAGGTGAAATGAACAACAACAACAAAAAAACCTACAAAGAGTCACTGTGAGAAATGAGGGTGAGCCAGAAAATATCGGGCAAGCATACTGTCAGCTGTATGAACTCCCTTCCACTAGCCACACCCACTCTGGGACGCTGAAGCCGAAGAGGTAGGATATTATCTCTCAGCCTTCATCTGCACACTGCATTCTGCCAGCATGCTAGAGGCTTGTTATAGGTAAGTATACAGAGTAACTCTACAAGGCTTAAATTTTTCTCAAGTCTGTGCTATTTTGACATTTCAAGCTATAAATCTTTAATAGAAAAGATAAATCAAAGGCAGGTTACCTTGGAAGTATTTTATTTAGCAATATTCTTAAATTCCATCTTACAACTTTGATCCTTCTCTGGAAGCCTATACTTGAATCTGAAACATTTACAAACTTTTAAAAATTCAACTTTAACTTAAAAAATATTCAATACAGAAACAAGAAAGGCAACAATATGTTTTACAAATGTATTCAGGATCAAAATACTTGCTATTTTTTTCTAATTAAAAAATTTTGCCTAAGTATCCTTCCTAATCTCAGAGACTCTCCTGTGTGTCTTTCTTATTAGATTGAAGTCCATATATCAGTCACCACTGCATTTCTGTCCTTTGAAAGCCATGCTAAATCTTACATCTTATGAAACAATTGAGAGAAACTGTTTTTTACCAGTTTCTTTCAAAACATGATTTATTCTATTGTACCTTTCATTTCCGGAAAAATAGATATTGTTTCATTCTCTGTAAGAAATGTCATTTCTAGAAATATCCAATTTTCCCTTCCATTAGAAAATATTATCTAATCATTTCATATTCTAAATAAAAGTTCAACTGTTACTGTTCAAGAATTCTGAAATGTAATTTTTCTAGTCTCTGTGTCCATGGCAGTAGACAAGATTTATTTTCACCAAGGATATAAAATAGGGCAAGTGGAGATGTGGTCTACAAGCATATTATCACACACAAATATTATTTGGCTTGCTCCCAAAACTATTCTCTGCCTATGGAGACTCACTCACCCTGCTTTTAGTTCAACCGGACCTAGATGAGCTTGAGGCTTGAATCAACCAGTGGGAACTTCCCCCAATGGGAAGCGCATCCAGGACTTTTGCTGAAACAATAGAGAAATACACATTCTATCTTTCTGGGATCATGAGTAATACATTATCCAGTATCCATCTCACTTGTCACTCATTATACGGCAGCCATTTGACTTAGTAGAACAGACACAACTCTCAAGTCCAGAGGTGGCTTATCCTGTTTAGTATAAGCCAATCTGTCAAGAAAGCTCTTATCCCTCTTTCCCTAGATACTGAGTCCAGGATGGGCAATGACCTAAACTGGTCCCCACAGAATGAAATACAGGACTTCTGTGAATAACTGAGGGGGAAGATTTGTTTCTTGGTCTGATTGATGTGGTATGCATCTGTGATGACTAGAACCATTACAGCTACAGCTGACACATAAAGAAAAGCTAAGAGAATCCCAGAGAGTTACATCAAACCACATCCAAAGCTTCACTACATCTGGATACTTAGCAGTTATGTGAACCAATACATTTATTATTTAAAGCAGTTTGTGCTGAAGATCATGTAATGTATGCTTAAAGTTTTCATTAACATCTTTGCCATTACATGGCGAGCGCTCACCTGAGAATAAAGTCGAAGTGAAGAAAAGCAGCACTGGGAAAGAAAGCAGGATAGATTGATTGCTGGTGACATCACTTGAGGTCCCTTCTTCATTGTTAATTAATGCAGCATCCTTTCTTATTTAAATTAATCTGACTTGGGTTTCTTCTACTTGCAAATGTGGAGTACCGACTAATTCAGTAGTGTTTCTGGTTTGCACAATTTAGTGGCTCTGAAATGATTATCTGATTATTTTTTCAGTAAAAGGGACCACCATGGGAACTTGATTTGAAAATAAAACAAAGAAATAAATATAATGGTCTTTCAGAACTAAATTAAGTATAATATAGCCACTGGTCAGAAAAACTGAATTTAAGTTGATTTTCAGTCCAACTCACCAATTCACTACTTTAAATGATAGTATTGACTAAAAAATACAGAAAAAGTTTGAAAATGGCTTAAATAAATTCTATCACCCTTAATACCTGGTTAATGCCTATACTATATGCTCCCATAGGATGATTATTATTTGTACTACATTGCAGGCTTCAAAGGAGGCCTGAGGCTTCCTCTTTCACCAAAACCATGAAGAAAGATTATGTAGACCAAGGTTAAAAGCACTGCTGGGTTCCAATGTTAAGGGCTAAAACTTCCAATATGGCAAAGGGGTTTGGCATCCCTGTGGCTTCATTTTTTACCTTATAGTTATTGTTTTAAGAAATCTCCTCTCTTTGGATACTTTCTTCATGGGAGGATCCTGCTTTAGGCTTTCTGCTTCTTCTTGAACACTTTGCCACTTAGAAATTTCTTCTGCCAGATACCCTAAATCATCTCTCTCAAGTTCAAAGTTCCACAGATCTCCAGGGCGGGGCAAAAGACTACCAGTCTCTTTGCTAAAGCATAGCAAGAGTCACCTTCCTCCAGTTCCCAACAAGTTCCTCATCTCCGTCAGAGACCACCTCAGCCTGGACTTTATTGTCTGTATCACTATCAGCATTTTGGTCAAAGCTATTTAACAAGTCTCCAGGAAATTCCAAACTTTCCCACATCTTCCTGTCTTCTGAACCCTCTACGTCTCTAGGAAGTTCCAAACTTTCCCACATTTTCCTGTCTTCTGAGCCCTCCAAACTCTTCCAACCTCTGCCTGTTACGCAGTTTCAAAGTCATTTCCACATTTTTGGGTATCTTTATAGCAGCACCCCATTACCTCGGTACAAATTTACTGTATTCATTCATTCTCACGCTGCTAATAAAGACATACCTGTGACTGGGTAATTTATAAAGGAAAGAGGTTAACACACAGTTCCATGTGGCTGGTGAGGCCTGAGGAAACTCAGAATCATGGCAGAAGGCACCTCTTCACAGGGCAGCAGGAGAGTGAAGTGCCAAGCAAAGGGGGAAGAGCCCCTTATAAAACCAACAGATCTCATGAGAACTCACTATCACAAGAACAGCACGGGGGTAACTGGCCCAATGATTCAATTACCTCCCACTGGGTCCCTCCCATGACATAAGGGGTTTACGAGAACTAAAATTCAAGATAAGATTTAGGAGGGGACACAGACAAACCATATCACCTGTCTTACACTACTGATGGGGGACACTAAAATGTTTCAGGACTGAAAAGAAGTAGAAGAGGCAGGAAGGGCTCTGATTATTTATATACTCCTGAATCTGTTTTTTGTAAGGAACCACTCCTTTGCTTGTCCCTCAGATCAAAATCATCCCAATTTTCTAAAAATATAACTGTCAGAAGCTTTTGAACCAGAGCAGCTCCATCTTTAATCGGGGCTGGGTAAAATGAGGCTGAGATGTGCTGGGCTGCATTCCCAGCAGGTTAGGCATTCTTAGTCACAGGATGAGATAGGAGGCCGGCAAATGATACAGGTCGCAAAGACCACATTGATGAAACAGGATGCAGTAAAGAAGCCAGCCAAAACCCGCCAAATCCAAGATGATCTCCGGTCATCCTCACTGCTCTTTATGTTAATTATAGTGTATTAGCATGCTAAAAAACACTCTGGCCAGCGCCATGACACTTTACAAATGTCATGGTAATATCTGAAAGATATATGTTCTAACCCTCAGTTCCAGGAAATCCCTGCCCCTTTCCTGGGAAACTCATAAATAATCCACCCCTTGTTTAGCAAATAATAAAGAAATAACCATAAAAATAGCCACCAGTAGCCCCTGGGAATGTTCTACGAAGCAGCCCTTCTTTTATTCCTTTATTTTCTTAATACACTTGTTTTCACTTTATTCTGTGAACTCAAGTGAATCCTTTCTTGCATAAAATCCAATAACCCTCTCTTGGGTCTGGATCATGATACCTTTCTGGTAAAATAACCAGTACAAGTGCTTGCTTCTTACATGCTTTCTTACTTACATACTTATTACTTCTTACATACTTTCAATAATATTAGTTTTTCAATAAAATTCTTGGACATTTTTAAAGCTCTGGGCTCCAAAACCAGTCTTCTGCCTTATAATTTATCAGTACTGGCCATAATAACAAATGTGTATGGATTCAGTGAATATTTTTCATTCAAAATGACAGCACTGCAGCCTGACAATTTTGAATATTATTTGCAAAGTGTATAACCTATGAAGGCTTGGAGGAAATAGCAAAATTAGAAGGCAAGGAAAATATTTTTCATGGTGAACTTGTTTTAAAACTGGAAGGAAACCTTTTTTCAATTTTGGGGGGTTTATGATCTCTCTAAATATGCCAATAAAACTAAGTTAAACATAATATACTTGTCTATTCTTAAACAAACAAATTTATTGTATACCTGCAAAAGGTGTCATAAATAGGCATCACATATATTTTCTCAAAATGTCCAATCCTCAAACTTAAAAGTTTATTATTATTTTCCTTTGTAGCTTCAGTATTTTCCAAAGATTTTTATGATGACAGTTATCTAAATTGGGATCTCAGAAAGGCAACCTGTTTTGAAACTTTCAGTGTCCTTGGCATTTAGAATATCATTCACTCAGGTGCATTTCACAAACCTGGAAACACTGAAATTCTAAGATGTTGAAAAAATACTGGAGTTACTAAAAGATATTTTAAACAAATCTTCTCTGGAGATTTAATACAGAGCAGATTAATTTTCTGCACACATCATCTTGGGTATACAATTTGCAAAAAGGAACTAGTCTCTTAAATTTCCTTTATGCTTTCCCCTACCAGGTGGTGATGTTTAGTATCTCTTTACCTAGAGGCATGATCTGCTTTTGACATGGCTTGCAAAGTTAGTGACCTCTGTCATAATGTAAATCCACATGCTTAAAAACAAAACAAGTTAGCAAAGATCTTTTTGCTCCTTTCTGCCAATTACAAATAAACAAAAATAAATAAATCAATAAAATAACTCTGTTAGAGAAACGGCTTACTGCAGGGAGACAAAGAAGGACCTTGGTGGTGTTCATTGCTTTTCCTCTAACCCTAGCTTCCTGGCTGAAATTTTTGACCAGAATTTTCCATTCATGTGCTAGAAATATGTAATAAATATTTGATAAATGGAGCTCTTTCACACTGAAACTTGTAGCATGACTTTGAAAAACTGTGGCCTGTTTTCTTAAAAATATACAGTAATGTACAAATACTATTTGCCATCCCTGCTTCATCCACACCAACCCTCAAAGATGTACACATTAAGAAAGAGTCCAGAAATCCTTCAGTTACAAAAATTCAGTAGTTCAGTTCTTGGGTTATAGAATTGCAGTATAAGAAAGATATACCCAAGGAGAGTTAAGACATAGGGACTTGTGTCTAGAAAATTAAGTCCAATTTAAAAAATGATGGCCCAGTATTCCTTGGGCTTTTTGAGAGTGTAATAATAATAATAAGAGCGGTAAGAGGCCTTCTGTGGTAGGCTGAATAACTGCCCTCTCCCTCAAAAGATGTCAACATTTGAATCCCTGGAACCTGTGAAACTGTTGCATGGTAAAAGGGACTGTGCAGATGTAAATAAGTTAAGGATCCTGAAATGGGGAAAATATCCTGGATTATCCAGGTAGGCCTAGTCTAATCACAAGGATCTTCATAATAGGGAAGCAGGAGGGTTAGAGTCAAAGAAATGGATGAACTAACACACCAGACAGTTAAGCACTTTTCCTGGGTAAGCTGAATTTTTCAACTACTTTTTTTTCTCTGGGAGTATCTGTTGAGTCTGTGCAGGGACTGAAAGTAAGGCTTACCACAAACAGAGGGACTCCAATAGCATAAAGGGAACAAGTGAAACTTTGATGCTTGTGTGATCTGGAACAAAGGCTCAAACTCGTAAGTGGCAAGAGTAGAAGGACCACTCAGCTGAACCTAGCCCAAACTACTAACTTAGATAATCACGAACATATAAAATGGCTGCTGTTTTGAAGTGGTTTGGAGTGCAGCAATAGATAAGGTATAAAATTTGAAAATTCCCCAAATGTAAGAAGAGGATTTAGATGCATGTAGCTAAAACATTAAAAGCCAAACAACATAAAATTGTTGCAAATAAAATTATATAAAAAAATACAAAAATAAAATAATCTGCTCACAAGGAAATAAAAAGAGTAATGTGATAGACACCAATTATGGCCACTTTTTAAAAAGTGATTTAAAACTAAAATAATACTATGTAAATTTTATATAAATAAATTTGACAATCTAGAAAAAAAGGAATACTTTTCTAAGAAAAATTAAATGATTAAAAGGACTCAGAAAGAGATTGAAAATTACAGTGCCCAAAAACTATAGAATTGAGAAGACATATCCTAAAAAAAAAAAAAAAAGCCCACTGGCCAAGATAGTTTTACAGATGAGCTTTACCATCTTGAGAGCATTGTACAAGACAATATTCCCCTGACTAATTCTATGAGGCTAGCCTAATACAAATCCAAAAACTGGATGAAGATTGCACAGGTCCATCCCACTTAGGAATCTCAATGTCATTTATAAAGTCAGCAAATTCCAAAATAAAAATATTAGTAAATTAAACACATCCACATTAAAATAGTAATAAAACTAAAGAGTTTTTATCAAGGAATGGAAGGATGGTTCATCAGTAAATCTATCACTATAATTCAGTTTATTAACAGAATAAGTAAATAATAATTATGTTTATTTTATATATTTATAAAAAGTATTTGGTAAAATTTAATATTTATTGGTAATTTTTAAAATACAATGCAAGCTGTGAATATATAAACTTTTAATCAAATTTTCAGCAAAAAAACTACTTAAAGATGTGATATCAAAAATTCAGAAATAAGACAAAGACGTATACTCCCGTAAGTACTAGTCAATACTTTGCTGGCAGTTCTGACCAACTGTATTAGTCTGTTTCCATGCTGCTGATAAAGACACACCCAAGACTGTGCAATTTACAAAAGAAAAAGGTTTAATGAGACTTACAGTTCTACACTGCTGGGGAGGCCTCACAATCATGGTGGAAGGCAAGGAAGAGTAAGTAACATCTTACATGGATGGCAGCAGGCAAAGAGAAAGCTTGTGCAGAGAAACTTCCGTTTTTGAAACCATCAGATCTCGTGAGACCCACTGACTATCATGAGAACAGCATGGAAAAGACCTGCCCCATTGATTCAATCATCTCCCACTAGGTTCCTCCCATAACACGTGGGCACTATGGGAGTTACTAGATGAGATTCGAGTGGGGACAGACAGCCAAACCATGTCACCAACAAAATAAGAAAAGGAAACAACAGGTAACAAACACCGAAAAGAGAGAAAAAAACTATCACTATTAGGAGAGGATACAGATGTCAATATAACAAAACCAAGAGAATCAACTAAAAAATGATAAGTAATAAAACTTCATAAAGATGTATGGATAAAAAGTTGTCATGTAA